CAAGAGCTATCTGGATTCATGAATGAAAGACAGACACATAGATACACACACACACACACACACACACACACACACACACACCAACCAGTTAATTTTAGTATGCCTTGACTAACGTAATGGTTGAGCACTTCTAATCCTTCCTAGGGCTATCAAACATTCCCCTCCAGCATCCTGGAGTTAACATCTTTAAAATCTACATTTCATCTCTGCTACTCCAGACCCAATAGACCCACTAGAGCCGCTTACCTGAATTCTTACATGGCTAGTCTGTCCTAAGCCCCTCTCATAGTGATTCTGCTTCTCCTCCTCTCTCTCCTAAGCCTGGGAATCCTAGAAGTCCTACCTCTGTCTGTCTTGCCCAGCCATTGGCTGCTGGCATCTTTATTTACCAATAGGAATCGGCTGGGAGCAGGGTCCCTCAGTGTCTTACATGCAGACACTCTAAGCAGTTTTGGGGACCAGAATTAACATTATAACACATGCAGCATTATGCCAAACCCACTTCAATAAACAAATGAATAAAACACACACACACACCTAAAACCAAACTCTCAGCAATCATAGACAAGGCCAGCAAGAATGCAGGATTTTAGTAGTATACCAAAATTTAATCTCCTAGCATTATAATAATAAACAGTGCCAAAATGAAGATAAATAATTCCATTTATTATAGTATCAGAGAAAAAAAAAGGCATTTTGAAATGTGCAATCTTTTCTTTTTGAGACAGAATTTCACTGAGTTGTTCAGAGTAGCCTCATTTATTCTACAGCCTCTGCAGACATGGGACTTAGGATTCTCCTTACTTCAGACTTCCAAATAGCTGAGGTCACATTCTACATAAACTGTATACAAGACCAGAGGCTTTCTTCATTTCTCGTTATGATTCTTGAAGATATTTTTGTTATGGTTTGATCCTCCTTTTCCTCTTCCTCTTCTTCCTCCTCCTCCTCTTCTTCCTCCTCTTCCTCTTCCTCTTCCTCCTCCTCCTCCTCCTCCTCCTCCTCTTCCTCCTTGTTATTTTACAGTGTTGGGTCCCTCCATGTGCTGGGCAAGTCTGTACCACTGAATTGTATTCTTAGCCTCCAGTATATATATTTTAATTTGTAAGTCCTGATATGTGAGAAAGCTGTTGGAACTTATTGGGCAACAAATTACTTTCTCTTTGACTTTTTAATTTTTATGATTTTTTGGTTGATTTAATTTTTGTAGTACTAGAAATTAAACTCAGAGCCTCACTTGTGATGGGTGAGTGCTCTACCACTGAGCTACATCCAAAGCTTGAATATTTTGTTTATAAACTATCAATTATTTTTATCCTTTTAGTTGAAGGGTTATAATTTGTGTTTCCCTTGCTTAGCTGTTTTAACATGCACATGTAGGATAATGTTAAGTCATGCTGATGGCAGTGAGTATCTTGTTGTAACTGGAGTTTCACTCTGAAGTTCTATTTGTTTAGATTGGTGGTTTTGGCATGGTTATGAGCTCCCCCATGTCAAGGGGGAGTACTTTCCTCCTGTATTCCTCTTTCACTAAGTGTTTTATTGTTAGTGTCTGCGTGTTGCATTCTCCCCACCTCAAGTTCTTGCTTATGCTATATATGTTTTTCTACTTTATTTCCTGGATTTCATTATTTATCCAGTGTGTGTGTGTGTGTGTGTGTGTGACACTTGTGTGGTCAGAAAACAACATGTAGGGTTTGGTTCTCTCCTTCCACCATGTGGGAGCCAACTAAGGTCATACTCAGGCTTGGCAGCAAAGACCTTTACCCACTGAGCCGACCTGCCTGTTTTATCTTCCCCCAACTGCAGGACACAGCTCCTTCAACCACCATTTTACAAAGTTACCGAGTAGTTCTCCAGGCAGTAAGATACAATATACAAGCAATCCAACGTTCTTTCTCTCACCTTCCCCACAAAGTGGCATCTTCCACTTTGTGTTACAAAAATCAAGCCCGGGGCAGGGATAGCAATGCAAATCCCTAGAGTGTTTTAGATATTCCTCATTAAGTACATTGATTGTATTCCTGATAGGGAGAGAGTGTGTGTATATAAGAGACAGACGGACAGACACACACACAGATACTAATGCAATCCCACCATCATTTCAGTGAAGATAGACATTGTACCATCACCACTACTATTACCATAAATAGTGCTGTGCAAGTAGAATTACCTAATGGTTCAGTTCTGGCGCCCATGGAAAATCTAGTCATTGCATTTCTTTTACAGTTCCCTTTTGTTTCATGGCCTGTGAGTCCTGTCTGTGCACTAAGTAACTTTAAAAAAACAATTGAGGTGCTAGAGAGTTGGCTCAGCAGTTAAGAGCACTGACTGCTCTTCCAGGGGTCCTTGGATCAATTCCCAGCAACCGCATGGTGGCTCACAACCATCTGTAATGGGATCCAATGTCCTCTTCAGTCATCTGCAAACAGTTACAGTGTACTCATATACAAAAAAAAAAGAAAATAAAAAAAATATAAAACAACAACAACAACGAAAACCCCAAAACACATTGAATGGTTACACAGTTTATGGGGGGAAAATTGTGACCTTGGACTTGGGTAGACGAAGTTTGGAGAGACATGGACCTCTAAGAGGACTCCGGGTCCCATTCAGGGTCTTGAAGGAAGAGATGTATTCTCTTCGTGCTGAAGCCCTGAGCCTTGAGGGCAGGCTTCATGTCTCCCAGCTGCTAAGGACAGGCTGCTCACTGTGGAGATTCACTGTAACCAGCAGTACTGGCAGTGATTACAATTATAGCTAAAGGAATGTCTGATCATTATGGTTTCTGGCTATAATCCTAGCACCCAGGAGGTTGAAGAAAGTACATTAATTTATACATCAATAATCATAAGCTCATTGCATGCTACTCTAAGTAGCATTAGTTATTTAAAAAACTTTATTTTTTTAACATAAGCAGTTTCAGTGAGGACATTCATATTTTCCCAGATTTCTTTTGTAAAATTACATCTATCTGTTTTTTGAGCACATGTGGGGACTCGGAGAACAACTTGAAGTAGGTCTCTTTTTCTGCGTGGTTCAAGAGATCAAGTTCAGGTCCTTAAGCATGGCACCAACCACCTTTGTTTACTGACTCGTTTCATTGGCTCCATGTTCTCACAACTTTCTAAAGAGTCAGACTGCCCAGAAGCCAGGTGGCTCCTGCTCTCTCGTGCTTTCAAGCTTGCCAGTACCACATGAGGTGCAGCATCTAGAAACTTCCATTGTACTTATCTAGATAGGAAAGAAAGGGGCACATGTCAGGTCACTGTTAGGAAAATTAGTGCTCTCATTGGCCCTCTGCAGGATCTTGGGGACACATGAGCCTGCGGTGCACCTGGGGAACCGCTGTATCACTTAGCATCTCAGTTAGCATTCCTCACTTAGTATGTCAGTCTGAGGCTCACTGAACCAATTACTCATTTCCGGGCGATTTCTAAATCACACCTAAGGTGAGTTTTAAAACATACATTGGACTGCTGACATGTACGTGTAGCAGCAGAGATGAACCCAAAAGCACTATGCCAAGTTAGTAAGATGGCCCCAAAATAAACATTTTGACTATTTATCTGAAGTCTAGAAAAGGCAAAACTGTAGGACAGGAAATCGCAACATTGATACTGGGCTGAGGTCAGAGGGAGGCTGACTGAGGGCTATGAGGGAATTTTGGAGCAATGGAAATATTCTTCACTCTAGGCCCCTCCCACAGTCTGTTCACTCATCTTTTATTCTGCTGGAAGGCATTGCTGAGATCTTACGCCTCATGAGAGAGAAAGCATATCCATACAAAGACTTAAGTGTTCCTGGCAGCCTCATTCACAGGGTCCCCAAACTAAAACTATATCAGTGCCCACCAGTGAGTGAATGGACAAACCTGATGGATCCTCAGACTAAACAGATGTGTCAAAACCATAGAAAACCCACGGCTGCATGCAAACACCATTTTCATCATTTTCATGTATTTTAAGAGTGATGCTTCCTCCACACAGTGAAACCAATAGCCTGTTTTCCATTGGGATCAGACCAGGACTTCATGGTCTATTACTGAGCCTTTTCTTCTTTATGTTTTGAAACAGCTTACATAAGATGGAAAACTCCTACTCTCTACAACATTAAAAGAACTTACCAAGAAGAAACTAAAAGCAAACAAAAATGTGGCCCAGACTGGCTTTGAGCTAGAGCACTGGGTGTGAGTGGTACTAGAACTGAGGGCCCTGTGTGAGCTGGTCAAGTCCTTTGTGACAGCCCCTGTTTTAATACCTCAGTTTTAACCTCTTGGATGACAGCAATAAACATAAGTTGACCTCCCTCCATCCCCCTTCCCTCCCTCCTTTCCTCCCCCCCCCTTTTTTTAAACGTAGAAGATAGCACCAGACTACAGGTTTGAAAAGGGTGGAGACACTTTTAAAAGAGCATTGAGAAGAGAAATCACAAGAGTCTTGAGAGCGAGGCACCAGCCCTCCTGATAGGGATTCCATGGGATGGGCCCAAGGGTTGGTCTCACTTTCAGCCTCTGCAGTCTCTGGGACCTGGTTGGGCAGGTTCTGTGATGTTCTGGGCGTAAGCACTTCCTGCTTCCCACGAATAGCTAATGAGTAACTTAGCACTGAGCTAGATCAAAGCAGTTTAGCAGCAGTGAGGCTTCAAGACCTAGAGAAGCCACTCTGCCGGGATGAGGTGGAAGAGGGGGTCTGATATCAGGTGGGATGCTTTCTGAGGGTCTTGTCTCTGCTGGAGTCTTACCCAGGGGTCAGTATAACAGATCAATAGGACTATGTCTTTGCCTTTTAAGAATTAAAACGTTCCCTCTAGTATAGTTGAAAACTTAAAGGACTATCTCAATTATTTTAACAAATGCTGATGAGAGACCACTTTTATCAGTGGCAGTGCCCCCTTTATGGAAAGATGCCTGTGGCACTTGTTTAGACAGCACAGGTGCTGTTAATAAATGGCAAAATTGTTTGTACTGCCTTATGACCCGTATTGGTTCTGTCTCATAGACGAAAGAGCCTGTGGTTCCGACTAAGGAAGATACTTCTCTGTGTTCTGGGGTTCTACATTGCCATTCCATTTCTTGTCAAACTGTGTCCTGGGATACAGGCCAAACTGATATTCTTAAATTTTGGTAAGTCCTCTGTATCAATTTTCCTTTAATTTTACTTAGAGTTTATTTTCATGGAGGTGTCTGCTTTTAAAGGGTATTTTTTATTTTAATTGAGATCAAACTTACATGTAATAAAATGTCCAGATTTTAAGTGTGCAGTGTGTAAGGAAATAGAGCCACCACCTAGATTCAGGGATAGAGTGAGTCTGTGACCTGGGAGGGACATGGCAGGGATGGCATTACCATCCAGTGTTGCATGTGGGTACTTAGGTGACTATGGGTGATTACCTCTCTTGAGCCAAAGTAGATAAAAATGTTGACAGTTGTCTGAAACTGCCATATTAGAGACATGTTGTCACTTATGTAGTCTAGGTTCATTGAAACCATAGAAAAGAACACTGTCTTTAAAATACTAATGAGGCTTTGTGCGGTTTTTTAAATTGCTATTATTGCTCCTTTTCTTTCTTTTTTTAACCTGCTTTTTTTCTCATAAAAGAAAAATTTGATACAGTTTTATTTTTGTGGAATCGTGTACTATTTACAAAACAGTGTTCGGTCCTTGAGTTAAATGGACCCTTTGTGATTTCAAAGCTGTTTGCAGGGTAAGAGGGAGGGAGAAGTGAGAAAGTACTGTGCTATGAGGCAGAAGAGAGTTACTGGTGTGTTTAGTAAAAACAGCCTTTTCAGAAATACCATTTTTATACCCAAGATGAGGCAAAGGAGGGTAGAGGAATTAATGATTGCCTTGAAAATGGCCGTGGTCAATGTTAGTTACAGAAAGTTGGAATATACTAACAAGGAATTTCTATTCTTTAAACTAGTAAGAGAAACAGGAATACATGTGTTGTATATTAGGAGGCATTTTAGTTTTCAATTGGAAATTTTTCAAACTTCTAGGAATTTATGATCTCTAAGTTTGGTAACTTGTAAGGAATAAACTTAAGAAGAAACAAAACCATACAAAAACCAAGGAGCGTTATTTTTCAGATTTAGTGTCCCCTTAATAAGAGAAGGTACAGAAAAGACACTGGGATTTGCATGAAGACACAAGGGCTATAATTTATCGGTAGAGCCTTAGAACTGACCCAGGAAGCCTAGGCCTGTGCTCTCTGCTGCTTGGCACAGAGTCAAGCGCCAGCAAAGATCTGCGTTGGATTTTTCCCCCACTAGCTTCTACGGGGTTCATTAGACACATTGCACAGTTTTACAGGGCTGGTTTTCTGAAGAGATAGTAACTCTGCCACAGGCACAGAGCTTTGAGTTCTCTAGTCCAGTCACGTGTCTCTAACAGGAGGCTCTGGCATGGGCTGTCCCCCAGGTTCATGCCCCTTCCCAACACTTTGTGTTACAGAGAGGAAGTTGTAAGATGGCTACCTCTCTTCCAGAGGTCCTGAGTTCAATTCCCAGCAACTACGTGATGGCTCACAACCATCTGTAATGGATCCAGTGACCTCTTCTGGTGTCTGAAGACAGCTATAGTGTACTCACATACATAAAATAAATAAATCTTTAAAAAAAAAAAAAAGATAGCTCCCTCTCAGGTTGATGCTCCCCTCTAACTTCTGTAGCGTGGAGCAGAGGGTCCTGGGGAAGGTTTGTTTGGGATTGTATTGATTTTGAAGTAGTAGGACTTGAACCCAGGGCCTCACATGCTGCACGAGTGCTGTAGCAGTGAACTCCTTCCCTCCCTGAGCAGGATTCTAAAGGGGTGAGAGGATAAAAATCTGTCTCTGGGTTTCTGGGTTTGTTTGTTTGTTTGTTTGTTTGTTTGTTTTTAAACTTACTTGTGCTAAGGAGGTGGTTCAGTGGATAAAGTGCTTGGTACTCAGAATAAGGATCTAAATTTGAATCCCCAGTGCCCACATACAAAGTTGAGTGTGGTGGCACTGGAATCCTGGTGCTGGGTAGCTGAGACAGGCTGATCCTGGGGCTCACCTACTAATCAGCTTAGCTGAAATGGGTAAGCTCCAGAGTTAGTGAGAGATTCTGTTTCAAAAACTAAGGTGGAGTCTGGGCATGGGATGCACTCATTTTATCCCAGCACATGGAAGGCGGAGGCAGGTGGATCTCTGTAAGTAATTTGGTCTATATAATCAATTCCATGCCAGCCAGATAGTGAGACTTTCTCCCCCAACAAAAGCGGGAAAATGATTAAGAAAGATACCCTGTCATCATTCTTTAGCCTCTGCTTGAGCAAGCATAGCTACATTCACACACGCACACACACACACACACACACACACACACACATACTAATGCATACACACACATCCACTCACACACACACATATCTACATTCATACACTCACACACATAAACACATATGAATACACAGCACACACACATACAGATACTCATACACATATACAAACTTACAGTCATACACGCCATACATACCATACACATTCACACACATTACACTCATAAACACTTACCCATACCACACACCTTCACAAAGCATACCAGACTCAAACATATACAGCTCACTTACACACATACACATCCATACACACACCACATTCACACATACCACACACCCTCACACATGCACATGTACCGCATACACAGACACATACTTACATACACATACTCACACACACTCACATTCACACATACCACACACCCTCACACATGCACATGTACCGCATACACAGACACATACTTACATACATATACTCACACACACTCATACACACACTCCTACAAACACAATCCACTTACATATACACACGCACACACACTCACACTCACATATTGATACACCTTCATACAAGTACACACCACACACACACAATACACAAAGACACACACATACAGGCATGCACACTCACACACACCGTTCACACACTCACATACTTCACACACTCACACATGCACGCACATGTAAAGGTAGAAGGAGAGAACCAACTCTAAAAAGTTGTTTCCTGACCTCCATTCCTGTGCACTAGCAGACAAACACCACCCACAACAAAGAATAAATAATATCTTGTCACTGGTGTGCTCATTTTAGGGCAGTGGTTAGCTATCCTCATAGCCTTTCCTACAGCAGCACTGGCCTGTCCCTTTCTGCCATGCTTTCCAGGAGTGCATTTTGCACTCCTGGGAGGAAGGGGCAAAATGAATGGTTCAGAGCTTACTTAGTTATTTGTGACAAACTTTGTATATGTGCCTATCTCCCTTTTGGACTGGAAAGCAGTAGAGGCTTTGGGGCTGGGGTTTTATCTCAAGCCAGAAAGGTCTGTGTATGTACAAGCTCTGTTCTTTTGTCTTACAGATGGGAGGCAGGACTTGGGCTGACAATCTTTTGTGCTTAGGACAGGGTTAATGTAGTCATGAGTCTATAGCAGATTTATCTGAAAATAAATGCACAGTCCGATAGATAAGTTTAAAAGAAAGTTCTGATTTAAGACATTACCCTCCTTTAGATGCATTTTCTTAGGAAGGAAAAAAAAAAGGAGTTCTTTCAAAAAAGAAAACAGTTAAGTGACAAACAGTAACTGGAATAAATAACAGTGACAGTCCCTTTGAGAAACATTGTTAGTACTGTATTTTATTGCCTGCTAGTCTGGTTTGTGTGCGCCAGTTCCTAGGAGTATGCTTCTTAGGTCCTGATGTTCCTTCCCACGTCTAATTCCATCTCAGTGATGTTTGGGCGATGTCTGGTATCTGAGGTCTGAGGGGATAGAGTATGCTTCCGCTGTCCCTTTTTTATCCTGTCTCAAGGGTTAGGAACATGTCTCCCAGCAAGGGAAAAGTCTTGGTTCAGTGGCAGAGGCAAGGGAGAAACTCAGACTTTCTTGAGAAATGCTTTAGCTGTATTAAACACTAGCCTCCTCCGTCCTTCCCTGAGCAGTCCCTGTTAAACCCCTCATAACTTTCATTCTTACCTCTTCATCTCCTGTGGAAGCCTCTGGTTGACCTTATAAAGTAATTGGAATTGATAAAAACCCAAATAACCTGCCCAGCCCTTCCTTTGTTGGTACCACACCTGGTACAAGGCAGTTAGTTCTGTTACTCACAAAGATGGAATGAGATGTAGCCTGATAGCAAAGATTCCCCAGGCAGTCACAAATGCCCATGCCAGCCTAGGAGCTCCAGCCTTCTACCTTTTCAGATACTTTCCCAGATTAGCTTTCATAAAACTGTGATAAATCAAGTTGTTTTCTATTCATTTGCATATTTATTCACTTTCTCTTTACTGAATGCCTATATGTGGAAGATCTGTTCCAAGTCATGCTCCTTGGTGTTTTTGATTGCTGATACATGGCAGCATGGCCGTAGTTAGAGTAAATGAAAGTCTGGAGAAGCCAGAGACCTGCAGGTATGGCTTCTGACCTGTATAGTCAAGTCCTGTTTACAAGGAACCTGTGAGAGGTAGTGTTGAGCTAGACCACATCTGTGGAGTAATGAATGGTCTGTGTGGGGGCCCATTTCTGTTGTGATGCCCTTGACTCACATACTCTGCTTCTATTTTAGCTATTGTATAAATCAGTGCCTCTACAGGGTAGGGTTCAGGCAGCGTCCCACAATAATGGGGATCACAAAGGGTTGATGGCTAAGAGAGATGTGATAACCACTTAGGAGAGGGAGTCAGTATGGTGAGAAAGAGTGAGCCCCACAGGCAATGACATGACTGCACTCAAGAAGCTACCTCCCCCTAATGCACTCCTTATCCCAGTTTCCTGCTATGTGGCATTTCTGATTATTTAGACCCACATTGGCCAGGTGATTCCTGTAACTATAGCTCTCCAGAGGCAGTGTAAACCTGGGGACTCAACAGGCCCGCTGTCAAGGTCTGCATAAACAAAGACATGAAGGGCAGTATCTGCTGACTGTAGGGTATTCCCTATGTGTCCCTTTCCATGGCTGAGTAAATCAGGAATAAAGGTGAACTGTCAGACCAGCTTCCTGGGATGATCTGGTTGTATAGAACAAAATTTCCCAGTTCCTGAATTTCCTTGGCTTGGAACTTTCTCGATTAGCTGTTAATCTTCAGAAAACCACTTGGCCAGGAATTCATCTAGAATCCCAGAATCTCAGAATCCCAGGATGCTTCATCTTTCTATATTGGCCTCCTTCCTGTACAAAATATTGAGTATGTTAGGATGGCAAACTAGGAAAAACAAGTTTTCCAAACCTTTCTCCCTTAAGGACAGTGGCTGTGACTCCACCTTCAGAGGCAGGACTGATAATATGAGTCTCATGTTACCAATGGACACCTGACTTGGACCTTTATAGTTTTACTAAGAGAGTCACCTTGCCAGCAGTGGCAAGCCACACAGCCCAGCATAACTACCAGCAGCCTGAGTTCTCTTCCTCCTTAGGGATCTCTATTCAAGTAAAGATAGATTCTTGACTACACTGCAGAAAAGGATTCCAGGATGAGCCAGAGAGAAGCAAATATGTGAGTTTATTCTAAGTGTTTAGAAAGAAAGTCATTGTATTCGTTGCTTTTCTGTTGCTATGATAAAACATTGTGACCAAAAGCAGTTTATGGAAGAAAGAGTTTTTTAGCTTATGGTTCCAGAGGGATACGAGTCCATAATAGTGGAAATACATAACAGCAAGCAGCAGGCATGTAGCAGGAGCAGGTATCTGAGAGATCACATCTCCAACTGTAAACACAAAGGAGAGAGAGAACTGCAAGTATGCTGATACCCAGTGATCTAATTCTTCCAGCAAGGCTGTATCACCCTAACCCAGTCTGCCAACCCGTGCCCCAACACCACCATAGTGTCTTAAGAAACATGAACCTACAGTGGACATTTCTCTTGGAAGTCACCATAGTCATATAAAAAAAGGGTAGTACATGATACAACACATGGGGCTTGGTTTTTCAAGAGATGCTAACATCAGCGGTTCAGTAAGGTGCTCAGCAGATAAAAATGCACAAGCCTGATGACCTAAGTGTAATCCCCAGGACCCATAGTAGAATGAGAGAACTAACTCCTAAAAGTCCTCTGACCTCCACATACATTCCATGGGACACACATGAATGCCTGTACTCATACTCATATGATGCAATAATAAATTTTTAAAAAGAAGGATGCTTAAGCATCTTTACAACAACTATGTATAGTTCTGTGGTAACTTACAACAAGTTTTAAAGATTAAACAAACTTAAATGCAAAAAAAGCCTAGGTGAAAGTTAAAGATTAGGTGAAAATATATGAGCTGGTATACTTATTCTTAAAGAATTTACCCTTGTGAATAAAATTGAAAAGTGGCTTTATAATGTGCATTATTTATTTAGGGACGAGATAGGAGTGCTGATATGCTAGATATTCATGAACTAAGCACAGCTCATTGGCTGTCTTTAACATGCCTATCTGAGATGGCTTCAGGAAATTCAGGAAGACACATATCTCTGTAGACAGTTTTGGCTCTATCAGTTATGTTAAAGTTTAACACACACACACACACACACACACACACACACACACACACACACACAGTTGGCAACAAAGGCGAACTGGATGGCTTCTCTGCTTCTCTTCCTTCCTAAGTTCTTTTCTTTTTTTCTCTTTGTAACCTATTTTATCCTCACCTGCAAATGAGGCTATAGCTTTCAAGTTTCCAAAGTGTGTGGGTAATGTTGTAGAGGGAAGCATGAGATTGGTGTCAACAGCACAGGAAGTAGACTTCTTTCTGATCAGAGCCTTCATGAGTCCCATTGTTACCTTAGCTCTCTGATGGGTGGCTGCAGCAGGAAAAGATCTGTCATTTCTGTCTTCCTTTCTGTGCCACCACCGCCTTTAGGTCAGGTTCTGTTCAGCCCTCATGCAGACTACTGATCCTCTGTGGAGCTGGTCTCCTGACCCTGCAGATCTTCCAGCAGCTCTAGTACCTAGCATCTACAGCCTCTGCTCCACCTTCAGGCCAACCAGTCAAGGCCTGTTCCTCATGTTGTTCAGGGAGTAGCCAGTGCTAGCTCCTTTCTGCTTGTAAGCTGAAGCCCCATTGTATTCTGGAGCCTTGCTTGTATTCTTTGCTTGGTCTCATTTCTATATGTCAGAGAACTCCCAAGTCTCCACTAACACTGATGTCAGGATAAAATCTGAGTGCTTTAGAATGACTGTGTCCATTGCTCTGACAGGTCTACAGACTGGGTGGCTTAAACAAAAATGATCTCACAGTCCCAGTGGCTGAAAGTCTAAGATCTAAGTATTGGTACCTCTGAGGCACCTGGATAGAATCCATCCTTTCTTCCTCTTCTCTTTCCTCCCTTCCTCCTGTACTAGGGATGGAACTCCAGGGTCTTGTCCATAGTGGGCAAGCACTCCACCATCTCCTGCCTATTTCATCAGCTGGCAGTGGCCTGCAGTCTTTGATATGTCTTGGCTTGTAGAAACATCACTCCATCTACTCACAATCTTCTCGTGGTCTCCCTATTTAGAAATATATTAATCATGGTGGATTAGAGGTTACTCTGGTGACCTCATTTAAGATTTGTTACACTGAAGAGACCTGCTTTTTAAGTGAGGTCATGTTCTTGAGTTCTGGGATTTTGGGGGAGAACATAATTCAGCATGTAACAGAAACTTAAGAGGAGCTTTAAAACTTGAGCTTGCTTTTTCAGGGCAATGTGGATTAGGAAGGCGGTGATTGGAATTGCAGTCCTGGCGAGAATTCCTCTCTCATGAAGGCCTGGGGGAGATGCTCAGAGAAGTTTCTGTAGAAGGAGCGTGTGTATCCCTGTGTCTTCATGAGTCAGATGGTTCATTTATTCAGCAAGTGTTCATCGAGGCCAAGAGGCATTGAAGGAAGTGAGTTAGATCTAATACACGATGTATGAAGTTAGCTTTGAAACTCATCCTCTTCACAAACAGCAACAACAAAAAAGTGTCAGTGGAGTCCTTCTAGAGATCATGGTCACCCAGAAGTCAGGACCATGCTGCTCTTTGTCACTCTCCCCATGGTAAGGATAAATTACATCTTGGGGCTTGCTTATGTTTTGTTGGTATATTCATTTAAATTTTTCATTTTCCCATTAATTTTTTCCTCAGAAGTTGTTTGCCATAGCAGTAAAGGAGAGTGTTATATACAGAAAAAAATTAAGTCTCTCTGCACACTCACACATGGCATTGTCTTTCTGTGTTCCCTCTCCCAGTCACACATGGTATGGTTACCAGTGTTGATGTCCTTTGCTTGTGTTTGCAGTGACAGTGGGGCAGGGTCCTTCTCAATTACCCTGTCCTGCATGTTTCCCATTCTGATGTTTCCATGATCTCCCGTTGTAGCATACCAACTACATTTGGTTTATCCAGTTATGGCCCTGCTGGCAAATGAAGGTTAGCTGTAAGACTCTGCATAGTATCTGTAGTTCACTTTGAACAGGGTTCTAGTTTTCATCCATTTTGCTGTCTTTTCTGGGTTAAATGATGGTGCCAGAAACTTGAGAACCTCTGTCCCTTCTTTCCCTCCTATACCCCAGTCATCTTATCCATTATCCCTTTACCAATGCCTCTGCCAGCTCCCTGGACCCAACCTTCAGCTGAGCCTCAGCTAAGCTCGTCTGCAGGTTTTTTTCCCCTGTGTCTCAGCCTATCTTGTGCCAGCTTATCCTGTTAAAGACCTTCCCTTCTCTTGCTGCAGTCTCACACTTGAATAAACTTCTGGTTCCAGGCTCCACTCTGGCTATGCCCTTACTGCAGTGTTTTCAAACTGTATTTCAGTGTTTTTTAGCTTTACCCCTTCCCTGAAGTGGGCCTCTCATGTGGCAAAATTCTGACAGAAAAGTACTTGGTGCTGTTGAGAGTTTTCACTTATGCTGTGGGTATGGGGTATATATTTGTCAATACATATATTGTGAGGGTGTATTTATCATAGTGGAGTGTGTGCTTTGTGTGTTCAAGTGTGAATGCATGGGTGAGCAGAAATGTTTCTTTGTGTGTATTTGTCCTCTCCATTAACCTTGACTTCATCTCTTTGTTTCCTACAGTGAGGGTTCCCTATTTCATTGACTTAAAAAAACCACAGGATCAAGGTTTGAATCACACCTGCAATTACTACCTCCAGCCAGAGGCTGATGTGACTATTGGAGTCTGGTGAGTGTCTTTAACCACTGATACAGGAGAGAGAGACACTAGCTTCTTTGGCCTCTTCAGGAGGCTACAAGAGCTCAGCTCAGGCGCTGTCCTTGACACTGGACTTGGGGTACTGTTGCCTGTTTTTAATCTTCATCTATACTTAAGGCCAAGGGAAGAGCTCAGCTAAATTTGATCCCAGTGGTGCAGGGTGACATGACACCAAACTCTCTCCTGAGGTTTTTGAAACAGCAAAGGTTTTGTAACCATATTGTTTTTAGAGTCTTATTTCCAAAGTTTTTTTTTTTTTAAACAAACAAACCAAACAATCTAGAGACAAAAAGAATATAAGAACACAATGAGAAATACAGACTTGAATGTATCTTTTCAGAAATGTGAATGACTACTGCCTGCAGCCCTTCTCAGGGGCCTGTGAGAGGGATGTTTACGTTTTTTTCATAAATTCACACTGGACTTAAGCCATGTGGCTTCTCTGTAGATTCCTTGGAATTGATTTCAATGGCTTTTTGTGTAAGTGATGATTCCTAACAAATGGGTCAAATTGGCCAGACCTGCATCAGTGTTTTCTTTTTTCTCTCAGAAGCAGCTCTGAATAACTGCCCCTTTATCTTAGCTGGGTTTATTTTTCAGTTGCCATACAGTCTCTTTCTGCAGCCTCAGAAACCCACCGTGTATGTGAGACGTTTGTAAATGAACCCAGTAAGTAGGCTGCCAGTGTGCATGAGAGGACCTTCAGATGCTTCACTTTACAGCCTTTGGTAAAGGGTAGAGAACAAGAAGGGAGGCTCTTGTTCTCAGCGGTGGACACTGGGAGTAGAGTCTTTTTGTGATTTTCTGGTTTGATTTAATTGAGCAGTAGCTGACCTGTGTGTGCTTTTGGGACTGTCAAGAATTTGACCTGAAGCTGTGTATGGGGCTTTATATGGGGAGAATGATTGGCCCTTAACCAGGAGTAAGGTTCTGTCTTGTTCAGAAGTGTCATGGTGGCACTTAAGCCAAAGCACTGACAGCACCTATGCACATTGTTAAGTACCCAGAGTGTTAGAGTGATTGCCACACAAATCTCAAGGTAGTAGACAGCTGTCGCCTTGCCTGTCTGCCTAGATTGTTCCATGACCTTGAGCCTTGGGAAACAGAAGGCTGTATTCCCATCTGCTCTTACCTCCATGCCTTCAGATTCTCCCACCTCTTCTGCAGGAGTCTGAGTGCAAGGACCATTCTTGGCTAATCAGCTCAGTGTCAGCTGCCCTCTACCAACAGGTTGGAAGTGTGCACACTGGGCCTCTGCCAAGAGTTCCAAATGGGATAGTCTGGCTTCTAGGAGAATGTCAGCTCCAACCGTCTAAAACAGGCCTACCATCTTTGCCCCACCACCCCATCAATACTATACACTACCTAGGCTGGCTGAGAACTCCTAGCATCATCCTGCCTCTTAGGTGTCTGGGACTGTGACTTGTGATTGTATGGGAGTGGTCATTACAGTGGCTAGAAACACAAAAATGTGTCCTCATGAATGGACAAGAGAAATGCATTAAAATAATAAGGACATGGCTACTTGATTTTTAAAACATTTATGTCATTAACATCTAGAGTGAATTTGGCTAAGATTTTTAGAAGAAAAGTAGACATCAATTAAGACCCTCCCCAGTGGTTAACAGTATTCAATTTGGCCTTTGTATATCTCTGAAGGAGAGTTTGGCCAAATAGAATAGCAATATCCAAGAGCCTGGGCCAGCCTGCCTGTTGGTAAACTTAACCATGTATTTGTGGCTCTAGAATGCAAGAAAGTTCTACCAGCTAATGCAGGACAGATTTCTCTCACATTTGAACAAGCTATTTGACTCAGCAAGAGGCCTTTGTTCGCTCTAAGGTGGTCAGCAGCTGAGCTTGCGGCTTACAGTTTCAGTTACTTTTCTGTTAGGGGTGAGATAATGTGCCACCCACCCTTCTGTCTTGTCCACGACCTTAACGTAGGTGCCATTGTGTGCAGAAGGGGCATCTGACTCTGCTGCCCCTCTCTGCTTCTGTCTCCAGGCACACCATCCCCTCTGTCTGGTGGAAGAATGCCCAAGGGAAGGACCAGATGTGGTATGAAGATGCCCTGGCTTCTAACCACGCCATCATACTATACTTGCATGGGAATGCAGGCACCAGGTAAGCCCACACAAGTGGTACGACCTCTGTGCAGTACCTGTCTCCTTCCTAGGCTGAAAATGTATTAGCTTAGACTATGTGAAGCAGGCCTGTGGTCTTTGTAATCCAGTTTACTGACCTACTGCATGCCAAGCTTCTCCAGAACAAAGGAAAGGTACAGTTTTTCTGTGGCTGGGAGAGTTCGGAGGCAGACCTGTGTGCTAAGGACCTGTGAGTCTGCCCTGCCCAGAGCTCGCTTGGAGACAGTGCTGAGCAGCAAGCAGTGTTGGAAGCTGCACCTTGAACACGTGGACGGAGATGTGTTTCTGTCAGAGACTGAGCTCCTCTAGCCATAGGGTGTTTCTTTCTGCACTCTTCCTCCTCCTTCTCTTCCTCCTCTTCCTCCTTCTTCTTCCTCTCCCTTTTTCTTCACACTTCTAAAAAGAGGCAGAGCATATTGAGAAGTGGCCAGAAGGGACGCTGAATGTCGAGCATGTATGAACATGTATGAACATGTGTGTCCTAGCTGTCTGTGTATGTGAGCTGTCTCCTGGCAGTCTTCACACACCACACATCAGTGTGGCCTGGTGCACTATTGAAAAAGTCCATACTTTGTTCATTTGAGCCTTTCTGTTTTATCTCAAATGCTTCTTGTGAGTGGGTTTAAGGCCTTGGACTTCAGGCTGGCTTTAGCTGGAGCTGCTCTCCCACCTGAAAGCCCACATTCTTTTTATACCACAGCATGCTGTTCAGAAAGGGCAGAGGAGGTACATTTTTGAAAGAAGAGCATTGTTTGAAAAAAACAGGGTCCCCTTTTCTATGCTCCTTTGGGTTGCCTATGAGAGAGCCTGAAGGAGCCAGAATGGAGGCAGCCCTTCACCAGCAGGGCAAGCTTCAGGATAGACCTTTTATAGGTAGAAACAGCAAGAAAAAGAATGTATGGGTCTTTTTTAGAAGGGAAGACGATCCTGGGTAGGTATCTGCTATGGAGCCATGCAGAGGGCATTGTAGAAAGAACCCAGAAGCACTGCCCACGAGGCTGGTCTCTGTGCCAAGAGCAGAATGTTTGGCTACTGCTCTGTAGAGTTTGCAATCTGCTTTGTTGAAGACAGGCTGCAATAGGTTTCACTTCTGCTTTTCAAAGACCAAGTAGCTATAAACAGCTCTTATAGCATCTTTCCATTAATCAGAAAATTGTAGTTGGCTATGGCACATGTTTCTAATAGTAATGTGTTAAATAAAAAGGACAAAGCTTTCCTGTAGCTTTATGTCTAAAAAGAATATGACATTCAAAGCTTTGCTGTGCCCTCCTACTCCCGGAGACTGCCTATAGTGCCTGCGTTCTGTCTAGTTCTGTCTACACCCCATTTCTTAAATGCTTTGGCTCACTTGCTGAGATGCTTCTCTGGCTATCCCTCCCTCCCCAAGCACAATCCCTGCCCATCAGTCTGAATAATCAGACCTTTGAATAATGAAGGGGTAGCTTTCCGAGCTCTCAGGCCCACTTTCTGTTTTCAGTCAATGGTGGGAGTTTGGAGCGTTTAGGAAAGCTGTCTTACAAAGATAACTAAAAGTATCTGGCATGATTTCCTTCTGGACTTGAACACATTTCTTTGCATGTTTGTGCTGCAGTGCATAGGCTTTACTCTTTGAACTCATTCGTGTGTCCTTGGAATGGCATTCCCACTCACCATATAGCTGTAATGGCCTCAGTGCTCATTATAAAAGAAGGAACATAGGTTAAATGCTTGGTTAAGATCCTACTCTGCTGAGGAGCTAGCCATTCTCATATACTATGAGTTAACAAAGGCCTCCTGATGAAGGTCCAGCAGGTTGGTCCAGGACTCACTATGTCTAGCTATAGTCCACATGTGTGTATGGCATGTGAAAGGACATCAGTGTAGCCTGATGAGGCAGCACATGGAAAGGAGATCCATGACCAGGGGGTCCAGTTAGGAAATAAGTGGCAAAATGGGAAGGTACCTGGACAAGTTCCTTGACACAGTTTCCATGCACACAGGTGGTCCTGGCCCTAGGATGCTGGGGAGAGCTGGGTAGCATGGGCAGGCAGGATGGAAGTGTGTTGTGTTTCCATGTATCTCTTGAATCTAGGGCTATTAAGTATTTGTTCCTATTGAAAAACTACATATGATAATTAAGAAATACCCTGAGGTGCTGAAAATAAGTTTGATGCCACTTAGTTGGATCCAGAGAGTCATCTGTCTACCACAGGCTTTTCTTTGAAAAGGGCTTTGGGATCCCAGATTTATTTTTTTAAAAAATATATATCTGTGTCTGTTTATATACACTACATACATGCAGGTGCCCACAAATGTCAGAGGGCATCAGATCCTTTGGAACTGTAGTCTCAAACAGGTATAAGCCACCTAATATGGGTTTTGAGAACTCAACCCAGATCCTCTGAAAGAACAGTAAGTATTCTTAACTACTGAGCCATCGCTCCAGCTCTGGGATCCCAGACTCATCCTGTGTCCTACCTTGAGCAGGGGCACTAACACTACTTGCTGTTTCTCTCCTTTTTACGCTGCAGAGGAGGCGACCACCGTGTGGAGCTGTACAAGGTGAGTGCCAGTGGCCCAGAGGAGCAGTGCTGTTTGCTGCAGGATGCTGGGATAGAAGGGGTCACTTGAATTAGCCACTCTGAAAAGTAACCATTCATGGGCATGCTGGAAGGTCATTCCCGATAGTTTTTCCATGGTTCTTCCCATGTGTTGGTTCTGGGGTGGGCTCCAAAACCGATGCATACTGTCTCAGGTCGATGAATTCTGTCTCAGGTATTTGCTAATGACATGAAAGGCATTTGACATTGTTTTCTGTAGTAGAAACAACTCTCCTTGTCCAAGTCCTCTAGGCTCTGGGTACTGGCTAGGAGAGAGCAGGATTTACCAGGCTGTTCCCTGGGAAAGCACCATGTCTTCTTGAAGGTGGAATGCTAGGTGGCTCTAGGTGACAGTGGTAGCATGGAAAGACCTTTTATTGTTCTAGGCTTCTAGTTATACCCAAGCCAATGTATTGTACACTGCACATGAGTAATGATTGGTTTGGTGTTTTGGGGGCTTTGGGTTTTTTTGTTTGGTTGGTTGGTTGGTTGGTTTGGTTTTTCAAGACAATGTTTCTCCATGTATCTTTGACTGCCCTGGAACTTAGTCTGTAGACCAGGCTGGCCTCAGACTTAGAGATCCAACTACCTCTGCCTCCTGAATGCTGAGATTAAAGGCGTGGTCCGCTATTGCCCAGAGTTATGATCTTAATGAGAATGGGCAAGAACAGCTAGTAAGTCTGTAGGGATTTTTTTTTTTTTTAAATATAGAAAAATTCAACAAAATCCGAGCACTCCTAGGTTGCAGTAAGGTCCCTAAAATGAAGTCTCTGAGGTCCACCAGCATCCTGCCTACCTCAAGGCTATTGACAGTACCTGAGAGCTGTCTGTTGCCCTGTGTTGTAAAGCATCACCCTGAGAGGTAGAGGAGCCGGCCACTTGGCCATCTGAGCATCAGTAGAAAAGGCATCCTTCCCATGTTGCTTAGCCAGAGGAAGTTAGAACAGTGTACAGCAGCAGGTCCAGGCAGGAGCTGCGTGTCAGCAGTCTGTTAAGTTCCCACTGTCTGCATGACTCAGGGCAGATCAGCAGTCTGTTAAGTTCCCACTGTGTGCATGACTCAGGGCAGATCAGCAGTCTGTTAAATTCCCACTGTGTGCATGACTCAGGGCAGAACTCTGCATGAGTTTTGGGAGAAGTGAGCTGCTCAGTGCAAGACTAGTTGCCAATAATGGATGTCTTTCACATTACAGGTGCTGAGTTCCCAGGGTTACCACGTGGTCACCTTCGACTACAGAGGTGAGGTTGCTTTTCAGAATGATCACACCCTCACTTCTGATTATACTTGCTGGGCAGACTTGTGTGAGAACTTGGAAGTGAGGCAGGCAACTTGTTTGTACAATTCCGGGTGTGCACGGACTGTGCTGTTAGTGGGAAGCATGGTAGACATCTTGTTGTAGCATCTGGGTGCTGACTTTACTGCCAGTGCCCAGATAGCAACATTTAAATGCAGAAAATACTGTCTTTTCTCCTTATTGGACTCAGGTTTTCCCTTCAGCTGGACATAAGACACTAGCTCAGTAGCAGAGCTAGTCTTGGTAAAACAGGGAAAACTGGAAAAGGATTCATTGAGAGCAGATAGATTCCTCTGTCTTCTTGGATAGCCTTGCTTCTTTCTTTTTGTTCTTAGTCAGGGTTGCCGCTGAGAAGGCTGAGGATCCAGTTTGATATATGCTGTGAGCATTCTGATTAATGAGCGGCAGGAATACCTTTTTAACAGTAAACAACTGTTTTAAAGGAATGTTTTTCCATAGAATCCCCAGTTGGAGAGCTCAAGGGACAAAGGCTGCTCAGCTAGCTTGTTTGATTCTTCTCGGGAGTGAGTGGTTCCGATGTCCTCAGACTGAAGGATAGAGGAAGCCACGGTTACCTGCAAGGGGATTTACGTTAGTTTCCTTTTGTTGATGTAACAAGTTACCACAAACAGCATATATTAAAACAAAGCAAATTTATTATCTTGTAGTTATGGAAATCAGAAATCTAAAATCTTTAACATCTGAGATAGAATCAAAGTGTCTGTGGGCTTTGTTCTTCTGTGACTTCTGGAGTGGCCTCTACCACTTGCCTTTGCTAGCTGCAGAGAGATCCTGGCATTTGCCCTCTCTTTTTTCTTTCCTTTTCTGCATGTGTGCCTGCGTGTCAGAAGTGGGCATCAGGTCCCATTACAGGTGGTTGTGAGCCACCATGTGGGTGCTGAAAATTGTACTCAGGACCTCTGGAAGGAGCAAGGGCTCTTAAGCACTGCGCCATCTCTCCAGCCCTGACCTCTCTTTCTGTTATCAAAGTGTTTATGAATATTTGGGCTTTACCCAGATCCCCTGATATCAAGGCTGACTCCTTAGTGGCCTTCATTCTTCTGCAGCTTAACTCCCCTGGCCTAAGGGTCACATGTTTACCAGTTCTGTGACTAAGATGTCAGCTTCTCCAGGAGCCACTGTTCTGCTGAACACGGTGATGGCTTTGGATACAGAAAGTTCCATCAGGATCAGTGTTTTGAGCCAGGTGGTGATGGCTCTAGGGAGGCAGAGACAGATGGATTTCCGAGTTCAAGGCCAGCTGTCTCTACAGAGGGAGTTCTAGGCTAGCCAGGACTACACAGAGACTCAAAAAAACCAAACAACAACAATAAACATCAAAATGAAAGGATGAATTAAGGGAAGAGCTGGAAAGCCCTGCTCCTTTTCCTGCTTTCTGCCTTCTCCATTCTGCAAAGGCTTTTAGAAACATTCTTTCTTATATGTGCTGAGACCCTAGGGTGATGAAAAGAAGGCCTCCTCCCTTCTGTGTTCTCTTCTTGTCGTCTATTGAGAAGATATCCCCTGCATTCTCTCTTTCAGGCCTGAGTCTCTGCCTGTGTGTGTGGTGTGGAACAATCCCATTCTATCTCTGACTATGCTCCTAGTTTCTGTTCCTCTGTCTTTTCCTTCATGTTCCCAGGTCTCTGTCTCCTACAAGATATCCCAAGCCTTTTGCTAAGTCCCTCCTCAGCTCTTCTTCCCTGGGTTTGGAGGCTGGTATTATAATGATGGGTTTGCTCACCAGCATAATTTTATTTCTGAGACTTGTGGTGTATATAAATCATGTGATGATGACTCAGAGCTAAGCCACTGAAAAGGCAATTTGTACTGAATCTGTGCTGGAGATTAGGAGGAGAATCAGAGTTGCCTTCAAGACTACAGCCTCCTGAACTCCCTTCCACCCTGCAGCTTCATGACGTCCTCCTCTTTGGCCTCCTTCTGTTGGCCCTGGGCAGACTGGGCTCCTACTGTCAGAAGTCCCCCTGGCCTGGTCTTCATGAGCCTCAGTGCTGACCTGTCAGTAGAGCAGTGAAAGAACTAGATTGAAGGATGCTTGCACCTGTGGGCAGGCGATAGTAGGACATGGATTTGAGGTTCTGGTGTGTGCTTTGCTGACTGTTCTGTTAGTTACCAATCTGAAAGGCAGGGCTGTCTGGTTTGTCAGCCAGCAAAAGTAGGGAAAGTTCACTTCTGTGCCCTCCTGCCTGTGTCCCTGCCACCAGAGCTGGAGTTGAAATGAGGGCACACAGAGAGGGCTGCAGTTGCTTATGGGGCAGCTTTTACTGGAGCTGCTTTAGTTTCACAAACTGCCTTTGACACTCCTCTCTCGCAGGTTGGGGTGACTCAGTAGGAACACCATCGGAGCGAGGCATGACATATGACGCACTCCATGTTTTTGACTGGATCAAAGCAAGAAGTGGTGATAATCCTGTGTATATTTGGGGCCATTCGCTGGGCACTGGGTAAGAGCTCTCAAAGCAAAAGAGTGATGTAGTGAAGGCAGGCCTAACATGTGACCTATGAAGCAGCCCCCATGCCTCTGAGCCTGTAGCATCATCCAACACTCAGTTCTAGGTTCCTGTCCCTGTGTAGGGGGTAAAGAGAGATTGAATTTCTTTAACTACTCCTTGGTTCAGAAGTGCCTTAGAACCAATATGGGCGGTGGAGATGGCAGCCAGTTTTCCAAGGAGCTCTTGTCCCAAAGTACTTTCAGAGTGCAGACAGACTACCTAGACTCTGTCAGCTGTAACTTAGGGTGTGTTTACCAATCACTGAGTCCAGGAACACTGGATAGAGATGTTTGGAAGCAGCTTTGTCACTTTGGCATGTTCAGCTTAGCAGGGAAGATCAAGAAGTAAGATCTGCTGGGCAACCTGGATTCTGCAGTGCGAAGTCCTAAAAAGAGCCATGGTCCTTATCTTCTGATACCTTCCTCTGCAGGCTTACTGGCTTGGCCTTTTCTTAGCCCTTCTCTCTCACTTGGGTATCATTCTGCAGCCCTTTGTGGGAGAACAGAGGGTACCCCAGTGGAAAGATGCTTGGCCATTCTTTGGCTGTCTGTATGGCATCTACCAGGTGTTGGTCTAAGACAGTAGGAGGTCCCTGGCCCTGGTGACAAGTCCTGTCTCTCAGCTGTAACTGTACCAACCAGCCAGTGTACCAGCTGAAGGAAAGGGCCAGGGCAACCTGTGGGAGACTGTTCCTGGAGAGAGATCACATGCCTGAGGACAGGAGGGTGGCTGTTGTCACCTTTTAAGAAAGGTCAACTTAGGCCCGTGGACGCCGAGCCCCGGGAACCGTGCGCGCAGGTACAGACCACAGACATTCGCAGCTTCCAGGGAGAATGGTGAGGATCTTGGCCAATGGGGAGATCGTTCAGGACGATGACCTCCGAGCGAGGACTACCACCCAACAGAGAAGTAGCAGTGCTCGGCAGGGCTTTTTCAACAGAGGCCACGGGGTACCTCCAGGGGGCCCTGGACCCCGCCAGCAGCAGGCAGGTGCCCGACTGGGTGCTGCCCAGTCTCCTTTCAATGACCTGAACCGGCAGCTGGTGAACATGGGCTTCCCACAGTGGCATCTCGGGAACCACGTGGTGGAACCTGTGACCTCCATCCTCCTCCTTTTCCTGCTCATGATGCTTGGGGTTCGCGGCCTCCTGCTAGTGGGCCTGGTCTACCTGGTGTCTCACCTGAGCCAGCGGTGACCTCCAGGGAACTCATCAGGGTGGGAGCATTCAGTAGGATCGACTGGGCTTCGGGTGTGAGAGATCACGCACAGGGGGAGGGAGCTTGGGTGTGCTCAGAAGGTGTGTTGAGTGTGAGACCGTGAGCATAGATTTTCCCCGCTGCAGGAGGCAGAGGGACTCTCTGGGCCAGCATTGCTGAAAAATAGAGTCCTATGGTTTTCTGGAATGTTTTTAGGGGGCATAGGGCCTCCACTCAAAAGCACAAGCCAGATTAAGAAAGGCTTAGTATGGAGTATGTGCTGTCCCAGAACACATGTCCTCCACCAGGTGCAAACCTGGAGCTTCGCGCAGCTGGGAACTGTCCAGAGTTTTATAGCATTCCTTTATTTTAACGGTGTCTTTTCTATTGGCTGCTCTTATTTGTGAGGAAGGACATTGACATTCTGTTCATTCTGATCTTTCCTTTCGGTTTTCTAAGACAAGAGTCTCACTGTGTAGCCCTGGCTGGCCTGGAACTCATCATGTAGACCAGGCTGGCCTTGAGCTCACAGAGATCCTCCTGCCTCTTCTTCCCGAGGGCTGGGACCAAAGGTGTGTGATACCATGCCCGGGTATTGTGATATTTTCAATAAATAAACCCTTTTAAGAAAAAAAAAAAAAAAAGAAAGGTCAACTTATAGTTTACCTTGTTCCTCCTGCTCACCCTGAAGCTCTCAGTTAGCTTCTCAGATCAGATTCTCTGAGCATTTTCCAGGATCAGCACAGCTTCACTTTAAAAAAAAAATTTCATCAGAATTCAGCTGAACTGTTTTTTCTTTCCAGAGTGGCAACAAATCTGGTACGGCGTCTCTGTGAGCGAGGTGAGGGAGCCAGGCACTGTGTGGCTAGGTCCCTTGTTATACATGTTAGTGATCCAGTCCCTGCTATGTGTTCTTGACAAACAAGTTCTAACTGGCAAGCAGCACAGTGATAGCATGAGCTGGCCATCAAGGATGGGGCCCCAGGTGTGCTCAGAGTTTACCCCAACCTGCCCTCCCAATAGGATCCTTCAAAGTCATCTGGAGCCCCTTGGGGGCTGGGGCTGATGGTGGTGGGAGGTTCCTGCAAAAGTGGGTGCTTGGGCTCTCTGTCCTGTCTACACACCCCAGCCACCTAGCCTCACTGGCTCTGTCACTACTTACTGTCAACTCTTTGTCTATGCAGAGACGCCACCAGATGCCCTTATATTGGAGTCTCCATTCACAAATATTCGTGAAGAAGCAAAGAGTCATCCATTTTCAGTGGCAAGTATATGATTTTATGCAAAATGTATTTTCATTATTAAAATAATTATTATGAAAATAAGATCAAGTAATAAACTAGTCATCATAAAAGGAACCATTTCACATTTACTAAAGACTCCTAGTTCTAGGCACTGGCTGCCCATAGAGCTGCCAAAGAAGGGTATTGTAGGAGGCTTTGGTCCTGTGGCCAGAGTGCATACCCAGTCCTCCTTGGTGTCACTGCACACCTGATCTCACAGCATCACTGCCCACTTGGTGCTGTGGAAGGCTTCAGACTAGCTCCTTCCTTGGGGTGGAGCCTACACTCTGGGTACTAGAGGATTATTGGAACCCAAGTTCAGTGCACTGGAGAGTTGGACTTCCCAGGATTATCTCAGAATAAAGTCCAGGTAACTTTGCTAAAGACTGTAGGACCGGTCCTTTCCCACCTCTCCCTCATCAGGTGGGACCCATCGTTTTCCTGGCCCTGCCCTCCTCTCTTCCCACTTCAGCTCCTGACCAGTGTGTGACCTGGAGTATCTGTGTTGACATGAGGTCTCATGCTCCACCCATTTATTTTTCTCATATCATTGGTACTGCTTTCCCCCTGACATTTTGTGAGGAAATAGCCTTTGATTCCTATTTCCTTGGTGGGTATCTGTCTTCCTGTGTGTGGAGAGTCTGGTTTCTGGTTGCATGTGAGGTATGGATGCCCCATTTGATCTATGGGGCTGGCAGATGAGTCTTCTGTCCCCAGTCACAAAGCCAGGACAAAGCTGGAAATGGAAGTTGCACATCCCCCTAATACCCTGAACCTAAACTGCCATAACTCTTAGCTTTTTCCTTCTGCACAGCTAGCTGTCTTAGCCCTTCTGAAAACGCTTTCTGTCTTGTTCAGATATACCGATACTTCCCTGGCTTTGACTGGTTCTTCCTCGACCCCATTACAAGCAGTGGAATTAAATTTGCAAATGACGAAAAGTGAGTATTGTCGTAGAGTAAATAGAAAGACACAGGACACCCACCACCCTGTGACTCAGCGCAGTGTTAGTGTGACAGAGTGGGCTTCAGCAGACTCATGGTTGGTCTCTGAGAGGGTGTCTTTTGAAAGGGAGAGTCAGGTTGAGCTTAGTATTAGAAATAAGAGAAGTCATTTAGATGACAGAGCAAGGTCTGTCTATGCCACGGTTTACATATGGAGTCAGTGTTTCAGGTTTTTCCTTCTGCCTTGTCAGGCAGGTTCTCTCTTGCTATTTCTGCCATGCTGCATGTTCTAGGCTAGCTGACTCACAGCTTCTGGGCTCTGCCTCTGTTTCCTGTCTTACCGCAGGGGTGCTGGGATTACAAATGCCTGCCACATAGGCTCCAGAAATCACATTAGATTGTCAGGATTGCACAGTGAGTGCTGTATCTGCTGATCAAGCAGACAATGAAAATAGTCATTATAAAAGGAACACTTTTCTTCTGGCAAAGAAGTAAAGAAGTGTAAAAGATTAATAGCACATTTTTGCCCATATAGTTATTTTTCCAGTCTAGAAACCAGGGCCTCTAAGTAGACATTAAAGCAGTATTTAAATTTAACAGTGACCACATTGAAATACATCTGAAAATATAAGCAGTTTTCCTTCAAATATGTATTTTGTTTCTAAAAATAAAAATGCACCAGACTAAAATTTAAGTAACCATTACAAACAAAACCCTTTGCTTTAGTATTACTATTGTAGATCTTAAAGGAAAGTTATCTGAGCAAAGCAAATTTGCTTTTAAAAAAATATGAGTATTGGCCCCAGGAAGCTGCCTTTGGTTCCAGCTCTCCCACAAAGATAAATGGCATATGAGTACCTGCGGCACCATGCACCAATGGAACCTGCAGTAACTTGCATAGCAGCCTCATCTGTAAATGGGACCTTCCTAAGCTCACATGGACAGTTTCTGTACCAAGGATTTGCCATTTTCTCCAAGAGGCTCAGGTTGAAGGAATTAGCTTATCAGATAGATGCTCCCCCATTGCATGCTTGTCTTATAAGCATGAAGACCTGACTTGAAGCTTCAGAACCCACGTAAAATAGCCAGGCAAGATGATAATGCTTGTAATTCCAGTGCTAAGACGGCAGAGACAGGACTCTGATTGCCTTCGGACAGTAAGAGATTCCGTTTAAAAACAAAAGCTAGGCGAGCATCTTGAGATAGTGTCCAAGATGATCCTCTGGTGTTTACCTGCACATGCATGTATGTGTGTGGGTGTATACACAAGAAATGCACCACCATGAGTTCTTTGTGTGCTGGGTGCCAGCGAGTAGGAGGTTATATTTGGAGTCACATGCTCTCTGGAGACTGGGTCCTGCTTCATGTGTTGGGATGACACTGTGCTGCTACTTCAGGAAAACACACAGCTCCAGAGCTCAAGATTGAAGCAGCTCGGTGGCTGCCTCAGTGCCCTGGCCAGTCCCGGGAGCTGCTCTTTCTACTGCTGTGGCTTGCTGAAGAACTCTGGTTCTATTGGACCGATTGTGCTATTTGCCATTTGAGGCTCAAAGCTAGAATGACTTAAATGTCAGTTGCACAAGATTAAGTAGAGCACGGATTCTCTTAATTGACAGATTTATAGTAATACACATTTGCACTTAGGTAAGATTCTTAGAGCACTTAAATACCCTTATTTGTAAAGATTGTTTGTTGTTGTTTTTACTATTAATGTATCTACTGGCAAAGTTAATAGTTTTCCATTTTCATAAAATACAAAAGGGTCAGATGTTGGGGAGTGAAATGACCTCTAGATTGACATCTGTCACCTAGCTAAAATACGTAGTTATTTCAAACAAAACAAAAAACCTAAGAAGTTATTTCTTAGTTCTATAGTAAAAAGAAACCTAGCTACATTCAGGCTGTTAAGCACCAAGGAAGAACACACCACAAACTCAGATCTCTGCCCAGGGTGAGGCATACAGGCGAGCATTCTTTGGTCTCTACCTAACAACCCCTTTCTCCTATAGTGTGAAGCACATCTCCTGTCCTCTGCTTATCTTGCACGCTGAGGATGACCCAGTTGTACCCTTTCATCTCGGCAGAAAGGTAGGTGTTGTGTGACTGCCCCTGGTACATTGGCCCTCAGTGTGGATCAGGTGGGCATGCAAGGTTAGGGAAGCAGGCCCTGCCCGCTGTGTCATGGAGTGGGCTTCTGTCACATTCGTCTGCATCCTTTCCTGGTGCTTGACAGCCTATGAGGTCTGATGTCAGAGTCAAGAGCAGACTGCTGCTCTATCCACCAGAAACTATGACAAACAAGCATTAGAACCCAGGCTGACAGGGGAGGATTGAGGGGACCACCCGTGGCTCAGCTGGCAGATGTGAAGACTTCTAGGCTGTATTCTTGCCTTGGGAATAAACTGCAGGGACCTTGCACTTGTTTCTACTAAATCTGCTTTGACTTTGCTGCTAGAAAGCTGGCTTAAATTTGTGGAGGGGAGTGGAAATGTGGTGTTAAGAACACCATACTGGGCACAGGAGAGCCTAGAGGAATGCTCACCATGCCTCATCAGCAGACGTGGCACAGGACTCACTTTGGGGAGGCTTTATAAGGTACACAGAGGATGAAGGCATCCAAGAGAGTGTGAACTGCCCAGCAATGCATCCATGGTGCATAGAACTGAGCTGGAACGACATTGTCTCTGCCTTTGGAGCTGAGCTGCCCCTCTTAGCTGTTCCTCAGAGCAAGGGCACTCTGGAAGAATAAGGGCAGAAAAGGAGTCATAAATGGTAGTCTTTAAGGAAGTGGCTATGCCTAACATTTGGCCTGTTAGCCCAGACTCTGGCTTCTTGGACCCTGGTTGTGTAGGCTGTAATGACAGAAGCAGTGTACATGGGCACTTGGGCTGTTCTCTGGAGGAAGCACCAGTCTTTATTGAAAGAACAGTCATAGGTGGTTCTCTGTTGGGCTCTAGGCTGATTCATGTCTCCCTTTCACCAGCTATACAACATTGCTGCACCATCTCGAAGTTTCCGAGACTTCAAAGTCCAGTTCATTCCCTTTCACTCAGACCTTGGCTACAGACATAAGTACATCTACAAGAGCCCAGAGCTTCCACGGATACTGAGGTGAGACATTCTCTTCTAACCCTTGAGCCTCTCTGGACAGTGGTACCTCGCAACTAGCTGTGCAGCAAGCGACAGCCACCAAAGCCATTTGAGCAGCTCTGAGGTATACTGCAGGGTCACAGCGATTCAAGAAACTTCCACCAACACCAGGTGTTGCAAAGTTTGTTTTCCTGTCTTCTGAATAATATGATCAGATGAGGCATATGGTCTTCCTGGATGCCTTGTACAAACACACATGAATCTGTATAGGAGAGAGCCTAACAGTGTGCACATGCACCATCCTTATTCACAGGCTGCCATGTGTGGACAGAGTGTGCGAGCATCCTGAGGGCCTTTCAGTGTACATATGCACCCCTCTCAGTCCATGGAAGGCTTCATATGTACAGGAGTACAGGATACAGTTTCCTAAAGGGAGGCCATTTCTGGCTACTGCACACTAGTCAGACTCTTGGGTAAAATGTAGGTTGCAGCCCGTATGAGTGTAGAGTAACAAGGAACAGTTTCTGACTGGGCTCCCATGCATGGCTATCCTCCATGCTTCTACATATATTTCCCCATATCATCACCTAGCTCCCTGTCAGATGACCCAGGCTCCACTCACCACCATTCAGAGCAGTCTAACCCTCCCTGTCCATTAAGGAGAGGGTGTACCGTACTTGGATTACTGTGTAGCACATGAACCCAGAGCACTGGGCTACCTGGAGAGCACCATTGCTGCTGAGAGAAGTAGTTCTCCTGTTGGCGCTGGTAGGCTTGAGAAGCGGGCTAAGGGCCAGTTATTCCCAACCTGTGACTAAAATTGGTTGCCTAAATTATCCCCCAAAGAGCAGTATACTGTGTAGTCTAGACCCTAGCTCCTTTGAGAATCCCAGAGAATTCTACAGTAAAGGTTGCCATTTGGGGCAGGGAGCTGAGTAAGTTGTGTTTGGAATTGACGTCTTTCCCCTCCCCATTATAAAAGGGAATATGGCAGAAAACTCAATTGAATATGAGCCCCAAAGCCTAACTTTGCCTGGGATTTGACCTAGGAGCCACAGTGTTCTTCCTGCCTCACTCTGAGGGCTTTTTCGTCAGGTGGCCTGTAGCCCCAGATTCTTTGCTGCCTCCACTACATAAGACATCCTGACTACTGTGGGGAGTGTGGTCTTAGGTCCAAGCACAGTTTGACTCATGCTTATCCTTCTCTGCTCTAGGGAATTCCTAGGGAAGTCGGAACCGGAGCGCCAGCACTGAGACTGGCCCGTGAGGAGCATGAAGAACCACCTTCCTTCCCTTCTCCCCTGGACAGCAGTCTGGCACCCAGAAGCCCAGAGTGCCACCACCTGTGGTGCTCAGGAGCCCAGTGCATACCTAGAAAGAGGACTCAGACACAGCGGGCAGAGGCTCCACAGATGGCTGTGAGGAAAACCCAGTGGCAGGCAGGTGGCCCCCTGACCCTCTGGTGGCCACTGAGCTTTTTTGGGGAAGGCTTATAGCCAATAGGTGGACCCCATACGATGGGCACAGGAGCCTGGGAAGGGCTCAGGAGCACTCCAGGCTCTCTGGCACCACCACTTAAGATACAGGAAAATGGTTCTTTCTGCCCTTCCTGGCAGACACAGAAGAGACTCCAAGTGGTTCAGTTTGTCCCCTCCAGCTCATGTACCTGCTTGCCTTCCTCAGCTGTCCCTGCCTCTCCTGGCATCTGTTCACTCACAGTAAGGGACACCTGGATCTGCACTTCCATTCTGCCCACCCGTCTGTCACCTAACCTGGCCGTAGACTGAGCAATTATTTAAGAATAAAATCTCAGTGGTGGTCTGTCTATTGTTTTCTCTACAAAGCAGGAATCAAGAGTTCCCTCCTCTGCTGCCCCCTCAGTTCTGTTCCTGACCACTGCCCCAGAAACAATCCCCACAGGAAGTACAAAGGTCTGCTCCCAACTTTCAGGCACTGGGGTCTGCTCTGATTGGAGGCACCTTCTCCTAAAAGGCAGGCCTAGACAGAGTCCACATGACCACACTATGTAGGAACACTGGCATTGCCAGCACAGAAGCACTGATCTTCCAGAGGATAGGAGCCGCATAACCAGGACTTGGAAATGTGCCAGACACATTTCACCAGTTTGTCTTGATCGAAGTATGTTTGGCCTTTTGTCAAAGCAGCCTGACCTAAAGCTACACACCTACAGACTAAGCTGGGCTAAGTGTTGGAGCACAAGCCTTAGCAAGAGCTGACATGAGGAGCAGCCATGAGCTATGGTCCTGTTCATACAGTTGAGTACAAATATCTGCACTCCCTACATAGGAAGGTGCAAGGCCTCTGAGGACCCAGCCTTTCCTAATCTTGGACTTTCCCCCAGGTCAAAGCTATAGAACTTTATATCTCAAGGTCTCTGTGCTGGGAGATCTTGGCAATCTACCTGACTGCTCCTCCAAGGTCAGAGGCCCAGCATTACCAGGTGTTGGAGGACCCATGTCTGGAACTTTATACTCACCCATGCCAAAGCATCATAGAGCTCCCTAAGTGATTCTCAAGACATGGGAAACAAACCTTCCCTGCACCAGTTTAGGACCAGGGATTTAGCTTTACTAAACCCAGCCTGTGAGGAGGTATACTCGTCTTTTGTTACCCACCCACTGTTCACTATCAAGAGGGCATGGTCATCAGAGAGTCCTTGTTTAAACTGGTCTTATGCCAGCAACTTGGGCCTGGTTACAGAGGGACAACTATAGCCTATTCTACGTGGTGCTTATCCAGGCTTCTTCTAGCCTCCCATGAGAATTACCTAACACTGTATGTTGTGATAGAAATGCAGATACCACAGCGACCAACCATGGGCACAGAAGTTTAATCCATTTCTCATACAAGGAGGTAACAGCAAGTAGTACAAGGGTGATCATGTTTTATGGCTTCAAGGGACCTCATGCATGGGGCAGCAGATGACCAGCCCTAGAACCTACCCACCTACCCCCACAAGCTACCACAGTGGCTCCGGTGAATTGAGTCTTGAAAACAGACACTTCCCAGCAAACAATGCCAGAGTGAGGAAAGTGAGGGGTTCTCTTGCCCACCCCTACCTAACCAGACAGAGAAATGCATGGTGCTGAAGCCAAGCCTCTGGAAGGATGGTTTTATGAAGTTCCTCTGACAACACATTCTTTGGGCAGCACTTAATGCAGATTCTGCCCTCAGGGAGGAGCATGGCTTCTGCAGTGGTGGGCTCAACCCCTCTTCCTCACTATGCGGCTGTAGCAGAGTAGGAACTGGGCCCCACTGCAGGACCAGCAGCTGAGTCATCAGCCAGGCAGAAATAGCCAGACTGACCAAGTACAAGGTCTACTTGCTAAAAATCAAGGCTTTAGCTAGTTTCAATTCCTCATCAAGTGTTATTTCCTGTTGAAAAAGCAAAGAACTAAGCCAACTCTATAAAATTGCCAGTCCTTAACCAATACAGATACAGGATAAAGGTCTCTCTTCAGTGCTCCTCCCCAGGGGTTCTGGGTTCTACATGACACAAGGTTCCACAGGTGGCTACAGAAGCATGGCCTATATGGATCAACCATCCACATACTCAGTACAGCCAAGGGCAAAGGACAGAAAGCTGTGAGCAGAAAACCTGAAGAAAAGGTTCTATCCAGCAGGCCAACAAGACCACACACTGGGGTTGGGTCTACCCTACAGCTCGTGACCCAGGTTAGCAGAACACATAGGATCCTGGCTTCATCACAGATCCCTATTCAGACCCCAAAATTAAAGGCTTAAGCTCACTCAGCTATGTGCAGGATTTCAGGGGCTCAGCTCCACTCCCTCCCTGCTCATCCTCTGGGGAGGATTATGAACTGAGGCTGTGGAGACCATCTCTGCCCATCAGTGCTGTGAACTCTGCAAGAGTTCTTTTGTAAGAAACCAGGAGGATGATACTACTTCCTTATCCAGGTCCTCAAAACGATCACCATGGTCCTTCCTGGGAGCATAGCACTTCAGATAGCAGGGACCAGCAGCAGCTTGCAGTGCCTGAAGACTGGCATGGGCACTGTCAGCCAAACAAGCCACTGGTCTCACTGTGTGGGATAATTAGTCCTTGGGCAGGTTGGGGGGTGGGATCTGCAGGTCAGAGGGCTCTACACCCCATATCTCCCGGGCGTACTCAGTGATGGTCCGGTCACTGGAGAACTTGCCAGAGCAGGCTATATTCCTGATCACCTTTTTAGTCCACTCCTTGGGATTCTGTGAGGGGAAGAAGAGACTGATTAACATCCGGCAGAGCTAAGGGATCCTAAGAGCCCATGCTTCCACAGCATGATGGCAGTAACAGATGAAGCGCTGAGCCTTGGGGCAGCCTGTGGTAGAAGAGACTGCAACCTTGTGCTCACAGAACAGCCCTCGCTTGGCCAGAAGAGTGACACTAGATTAAGGGACCTGCTTAAGACAGGATCACTGTCCTGTCCTCAAAAGGCTCACAACATTAAGCTAAGAGCACAAACTGGTAAGCAACTGCCACAGGCAGACCAAATATCCTAAAATTACCAAGCCCTCTAGAACTTCAAAACTGTCCCCAGACTGTAGGCCCCAGACTTCAATGGAAGGAGCCTTCTGGGAAGGTCTTGACTCATGGGCCAGACCCATGGATGATATTTTCAAGTTCCTTATTCTTGGCTGTCAGGAAAGGTTTTCCTCATGACGCCTAATGCCAGGAGAGCTGACCTAGAGACTGACAGGCTGGACATACTGATAACAGAGCAGCCCACCCCTCTGGTCTCAACCACAAGTTGAGAAGTGGTCTAACCCCAAAACAGATCCACACAGACCTAGCCAACTACATCTAGGCCCACAAGCCTTACCCGGTATAGATGGTCCACCTGAGCCTGGCACTGGATGTAGGCTTCAAAGTCTGCAAATACTTTGAATCTGAAACAGGAATAGGAGGCTGGGTCAGGGCAAGATGTGCACTGGGTGAGGAGCCCAGCCTAGAACGTCCATCCTCTGGTATTTCCCAGAGGACAGTCTCAGCCAATCCCCCTCATAGCCTCCCAGCTCTGGTGGGGGCCAAGGTGGAGACTATTCTGCCTGTGGGTGCCAGGCTGTACTAGGTCCACAGACTTCTCTGGGAGTCCTTATGTTACTGGGGATGCTCTTTTTTAGAAAGTCTTGTTTCACCCAAGTATTTCTTTAAAGGAAACTATCATTTCCAAAACAGGTGTTACAACTGCATATTCCCAGAGGCAACTGCAAACCCAAACAGCAAGCCCACAGTGCATTTTATTTTACTATCTAGGCAGAGGCATGATTCACTATTTAAGAGTCCCTCATCATAGGCCCCAACAGGGTCCCACTCCGTGCTGTACAATGGGCAGCACAGTCTTCAAAGAACCTTAATGTTAACCAGAGCAATCCAAAGTGGAGAGGTTAACACCAGATTCAACTTTTACCAGTGGGGTAACACTACCATGAAGCACCAGTGTCTTTGTAGACCCGCTATGTAACTAGGTTGGTTATAACCATACCAAGTTTAATGATATACCTCAAATATTGACTACATTGTTAAGTTCACAATGAGGAAAACAATTCCATTTTATCCTGGGAATGTCCCTGTGGACTAGTACTTGTCATGGATACATACCCTCATTGCCGTCATGCAGAGGGCACACTCCTGAGCACCCTCGGCTGGCCTGTAACAGTCCAGGGACAGAGCTCCCCCCTTGTTCATACCTATGAGGTCTGGGGACTGGGTAGTACTGCTGGCCACCTCCCATGGTCCAGGATCCCTGGGGTATTCCTAGAAGCCACTACAAATGTGGCCCTGATTTGGCTGTGAGTCTGGCTGTGGTAAGGTCTCTTGGACTGAGGTGGGGAGGAGATGATACAACCACAGATCTTACCCTCATAACACGGAGTGTTCAGCCTACCAGGTGAATTCACCTGTCTCAGTAGTGGGGACTGGTGGCCAACTTGGGAAGCCAAAGTAATAGAGGTTGTCTCCTACCTGTCGTGGTACATCAGCATGTTAACCACATCCTTGAAGCAGTCTGGATCTTTGGGAGAAAAGAAGCCACTGCTGATCTGATCCACAGCCTGCCTCAGCTCCGGCAGGCGCTCGTAGAATTCTCTGGCATTGTACCTAGGGGAGATGAGTTCACTTAGCACTGGAAACCCCAGACAAGCAGCCTCAAAGATGGGGTTGGAACAGGCTATGCTTGACATAGCCTCTACTCTGGCAGCTCCTCCTGGTGGCCAAGAGCATCAGCCACTGACCACATGTGGCCTGTAGGCCCTTATGAGAGGCAGCTGGTTAGATAAAAATCAATCCCTGCTTCCTTTACTATTCGGAGAAATGTTACTAAGATATTACACAAAAGGCTCCATCTTTCTGCTAGAGAATTCAAAGTCCACCACCATAAAATCCTGGTCAGAGCTCTGAGAGACATGATGCCTTGGAGGGTCACTAGTGGGACCCTAGAATGAATGAATAAAGCCAGACAGGTTGGCATAAAGCTAGCTGTGACTTTCCAAGAAATCTGAGAGGAATGAGGGACATTCAGGTCTCAGGACACAAAGCTGAGAGAGAAACTGAGACACCCTACATAGACACATGAGCTCTTGGGATGACAAGGACAGTTTGTTTGATCTCACTGCTGCCTAAGGCCTCACTGAACACTTCTCCCCTTCCCCAACACACACACACACACACACACACACACACACACACACACACACACACACACCCCTCTCTGGGAGTTCTGGAAAACAATTAGATTGCACTGTCTTTAAACTCATAGGCCAAGATTCCTCATCAGTGTCAAGGTTAGGAAATCTGCTGTTTTC